TCACGCGATCCGGAAGCCCAGGTCCTTTGGGAACACAGAGCCGTGAGACCGTGTGAAAATGTGATGTAACTATAATTATATCGCTTTAAAATTATGGGAAGAGGGGATCTATATAATTAAATATGAATTTTCTTTATTAAAAATTCAAATAACTATTTTATGAAATCTTTTTTTAATCATTTCTTTTAATCTTCAGAGTTCTGTTCCTTAAAGAAGAGAGACAAACGATAGCTCGATGGCAAAAATCAAAGTCGCAAAGTGAACAATCTGCAGGGGATTTCTTGTGTCGGTCTGGCTGAGTTCCAAATATCCTGCAGGATTGCCACAGACTAAAGACAGGCGCCAGTTTGGCGCCTCTGCCGCCACTCGTACATATGTATTCGCAGTCCCAGCCGTCTACCCCATCGATGACTCCTTATTTAGATGTGCGCAAAACTATGCAGAACGAAACGAACGAAAAAATTACAGACGCAGCTTCCTGTGCGGCCAGGACGACGACAACAGAGTGGAAAAAATTGCAAATTTGTGTTTTGTAGTCGGTCGTAAGGCCAAAGTGAAGGGCAGCGACACGGTGGGGACACTCAGCAGCCTCCTTGTGCTCGACGTCGTTTATTTTTGGCGCGAGACTCCGTGGCGCCACAAAAAAAAAAAACTGTCTACTTTGGGGGCCAAGTTCCAAGGACTGGACTGGGCCATAATAAAGTTGTGCAAAAACTTTTTGGGTGGTTTGTTTTACGAGTCTAGTTGGGGGACAGCTAAAAAATGATTGATTACCCGGGATCGGGATGAGGTTAGGTTATTGGCTTTTGCAGTTTTTGCTTAGAGCAGCATAAAATCTAGACTTGGCATAACGCCGAAATGGGTTATTAGTAAATAGGGCTTAGAATTGATTTCACGCTTCAGTGGCGACAGTAGCCATAAGCATAAATGACTGATGATTTGGAAAATAAGTCGATTAAGATTATTATAACTAGGGCTTGTACATACCAATCTTTAAGTTTAAATGTCTTATGGTTATAATATAATATGTGTAGTTAAGATCACTTACCTAAAAGAGAAAAGAGCAGAAATATATTTTATTAGACTTAACTCAATGAGTGGCTTTTTACTTGAGGCAATCGTATCGTTTTTGCAGGTTCAGGCCAAGCAATTTAGTTGATTGCTCACTTTGCAATTTAGGGTCACTTAAAGGTTTAAGGGGTCTACCATTCCAAGGTATAACAATAAAATTTGAGTCTTGTAATTTATAAGTAATTTCGAATAGGAGAGCCCCAAGTGCACCTACAGCTGGCTCATCTTTGACTAGATTCAAGTGATTGTCTATTATAAAAATTTTAAAGAAACTTGAAATGTTCTCCCTATACAAGGCCTGTTGTATACCTTGTCTTCTCTACACAATATAGTTCTGTATCTCAGACCCACTTAAACATATATAGTCATCTGGAATTGCTCTGCGATTTGGCGCGTGTATTTTGGCGCTTGAGGCGATCACTCTAATGTTTTATAGTTATGCTCCTTTGTCTTATCGGGGGAAACTAGTACAGGGGGTTGATGGGGACTCACGCTTTTAATGTTATTACGTTTCCATGCATGAAGTCGATTCTTTGTATATTTGTGTGCGACTGTCTCGCCTTCGGTCACTTGGGTCAATTTTGAGTGCGTGATAAATGGGCGCGTTGCGTGGCTTATGGCTCTGGGTCTCTGTCTCTATCTCTATCTTGGTCCCTATTGCTGACTCTCTCTGCCCCCACTAGCTCTCACTCTTTCGCCAGTAGTTGGCGATGTGTTGTTGTTGTGGTTTAATATTTATGGTCAATGATAAGATTGCCCAATCGGGGTTTTCTCGGGGGGCACCAACTGAATGGAGCTCGACTCAGCCGAAAGCTGTTTAAAGTTGATGTAGGTTGGAAGTTTTATAAGCTGCTTGGGGTTTATGCGCGCGTTTGTAGCAAGAATATTATAAACTACCATAAAGCTTAGTCTGATAAAAAGCAAAAACGTCGGGGCACGGCAAAAAGGATGAAATCTGTCGAGGATGGGCGCCTTGGGGCTTAAAGTTGAGCGAAAATAGTGCGAGTGCTAGAGCCAAAATTCACGATTGAAGGAAAAAGTTTAAAACTGTAAACTAGAAATATAAAAATATATTTACAATGGGATTTCGTGGTTTCCCCAAATTTTAATTCAATTTAAGTACTGCCTTGGTATCTGCCACAACTACACATATCCTCTCTATCCCCACAGCACAATAAATGTTTTCAAATTAAAGAGCAATACAAAAATGAATATGTATAGTAAATCCTCCAGGGACCGCCTACACTCGAACCCATTCATATCTGAGGAGAATTTCAAAAAGTTTACTAACTGCATTGTCAGACTCTCAACTCCCTCCAGCAGTGCCACATTTTCCAGCGAACGAAAAACTAAACCGACTGCCAGTGTGTGGATGCATCAATTTTCCCAACTACCACAAAGTGAAATTTCATGACGTTGAAGCCTCCACAACTGGCGTCTGTCAATAAAAAAATACTCGTAATAAAAAGAGCCAATAGCAAATAATATGCGGCAAAACTGCTGACAGACTGGCACGAGACGCAGAGACAGACGCGGCCAAAGATCGATAGACTGGCGGACACGCGGACACTGGAGGTGGAAGGGAACGATATATCGACATTTATGTCATTATAACCCATGGAAAGAAATTTAATTAACGCAGAAAACTTTGGCCAAGAAAAAAATAAAAAGAAGCTGGGAGATCCAAGGAAGACGACATCAAAGTCAATGGGCAATTAAAAAGTTTAAATCCACAGAAGTAGGTAGGAAGACAATGGGATGTAGCCGAACTGTAGTTAAAAATCCAAAAAGTTTAATTTGTAAAGCACTTTAGAACTTTTCTGCCAACCTCACACATATTGAAGTATTTGTTGACTTAATTGAATCGAGGAAAAAGGAAAACCCCAGCCAGACACAAATAAATTTGTTCTTTCTTCTCAAAGCAGATAAAAAAAAGTGCAATTTACTTTGGGGTATCTAAGGAGTAATCATAATGAAGGAAAATTTGGACACGAAACTCCGGTTATCCGGTTCAAGTATAGGTATAGAGGGAAATGTGTTCCGCCTGTTCAACCCACTCACAGATAAATCAAGCTCAAGGCGACCCATTTCTCCGGCTACCCACATTCCAGCTTTGAATCCAGCCACCTAATCCACTTACCCAGCTAGACCACACTGCTCCATATCATTCGGAGATATGGTACCAGTGGCAGGCATAACTTCATCGCAATTATTCTGCCACTCGGCATTGTTTGCACTTTTATGGCAGCTGGACGGCTGGCTCGAAACTTGTTCATTCATTCGCTTTGAGCCAAGTGCTGAAATGACACGACTCTTGGGGAGACTGGACAGGGAATTGGTAAAAGTTGCAGCTTTAAGTTTATGCCCATCCAGTTGCCATCGAATCCATCAAGCCGATTTCTGGGAATTTACACGTATGCCTTGACCTTGGCACCACACTTTCCCACACCGCCCCCAGAGTATCTCGAAAAAAAACCCAAAAAAATAAGAGATTTATGTTGTCTGCCTGTCTGGCCTCGATAAATTTGATGGCGAAAGGTGTGGGTGTGTGGGGTTGTATGGGGATTTGGAGGAGGTTCCGAAGGAATGGCCATAAAATACTTTATTGCATTCGACAATGTAGACACCCATAAAATACACAACGGCTCCTTGACCTCCTCCCCCAATGGAATGCAATTTAAACTTTGTTTTATTTTGTGATGAAAATTGTTTGCAAGTAAATTTGTAAATGAAATCAACTCTGGCCTGCCCTGGCCTGGCCTGGCCCCACATGAAGCAAGTTGGGGGTCAGAGAACGAGTACATAAAAAATGTCGCCCAAAAGTAGGCAAAAGTTGTTCTTCTCAGGCTTCGAGTACATTTGTCTGCCACGGAAGTTTATCAGACTTTTGCGTGACTTTTGTTGACAACACGCACACAAACAACGGTAGACATAGAAAGATTACAGTGCAAAAAAATGTTGGGAAATATAAAGGTTACTTTGTCATCTTAGGGTGATTGGAAAGAAACTTTCAGAGCCGATCTTAAAAATATAACAATACAAAACTAGATCAAAAACTGCTCCGAAAAAGTTCATAGATAAGCAATATTTCTCTCAGTGCATCTATCTTCTTGAAAGGCATATGACAGAAGCAAAAAAAAAGTTGAAAAGCTGAACACTAGCTGACTGTCTGATAAGCGAAGCGGATGAATCTTTCAAAGCAACCAAGCTCTTGGCACACCATTTGGCGAGGCGAGAAGTGAAGTTGCTTGCCATTCGATGCACTTGCCACATTTTTAAGCCTCGCCCCGAAAGTGGGCAATGAAAATGCGCAAAATGCTGCAGCAGCTGCGGGTAGCAAATAAATTGTACCCCAAAGTACGCGGCATAACCACTTGAATTAATGGCCAAGCACAATGCGGACGAGGTGCTTGGACTATAAAAGATGTTGCTGGATCAGATCGCCATCCGGAATTATTCAGGTGAAGCTTAATTGCTTGGATTTCATTTGGTAGTCTCGGGAAGGCTTTTTGTTGCATTGTCCAGCCGCAAGTGCATCCAAATGAAAGGCATAGCCTGCTCTTCGGGTTTCCAGGGCAATAAGGCCTTGGGATTTGGTGGAGCGTGCTTTTAACTCATAATTGAGTTAATTAGGTCCTTTTTTTATGAACGATTCCCCCGGTTGAGTTTTGAATAAATCGAGACGCATGAGATGCATTTAAATTTATGCAAATAAGTTGCCTAAACACCCTTTTAAATGCCTGTCAGTAGTGCTTTGCTCCCAAGGCACCCACGATAAATGCCTGATAAATTTTTAGATTCTAAATCATTTCGACAATGTGGCAGCGTAAAAGTTTCCTCTTTTGGCAAGGATACCCGCCCAAGCAAAACGATTCGACTGTTCTCATAATTCATCCGAACCTAAACTATTTTCATGGAAAAGTACTCACGTTGGTTGACAGCTGGCTGCTCAGGCTGAGCACCTGATCCCGGGCATCCTGCAGTTCGCGTTTCAGTCTGCGGATCTCATGCGCCTGTCGCTCCTCCGCGGAGCCGTACAAGGAGCTGCCTCCGGACAGCAAGGAGGCGGCACTGCCGTGAACTGAAATGGCAACGGAAGAGGAAATGGAGCGGTGAGAATTGCATTAATCTGTATTCGGTGCAAGAACTGGAAAACTATTGGATTTCCCTTAAACGTTCTTTAAAAATATATGATTTTGTTAAATAAAAGTTTTACGCGTTTTACCTTCGTCATTTTTCTTGGGATATGTGAGCCTATGTCCAACGATGGTCCCGCCAGCTCCAGCCCCTCCCACCAGACCTGCCACCGCGGTGGCTCCGTGGGTGGGTGAAAGCACTCCGGCAGCAGCGGCAACGGCGGCCGCCGACGCAAAGGGGCCTCGGGCAAGGGGTGTGGGCGAGGTGGGCTGACTCCAGGCTACACCACCTACCGTGCCACCTGGATTGCCCTGGGCCGCTGCCTGGGACTGGGCCGCCACGGCAGCTGCCATTTGAGCACTAAGGACGCCGTTGGTGCCCACCGGCAGGCAGTAGTACGGCTCGATTTCCACGTCGCCGCCACGGCTCAGCATCGAGGGATACATTTTCTCTGATTTCGTGGATCTGTAATGGAAACTCGTTAGTCTCGGGTGGATGTTCCAAAACAAGATAAACATACAAACATAAACAACCTGGCAGGTATTTATTTGCTAAATTAAACATTATTTCTACGAATCAATGGAACGAAACTAATCCTGCAACATGCATATCAAACCAAAGTACTCTTTAGTTTATTTAAATTGAAATGGCATGTAATAATTGTGGAAATGAAGCTATTTATTGAGAATCAATTGAACAAAACGGTGCAAAACATATAGCATTTAAATACCAAACAAAGGGAAATAATTCTACCCCTTTATGGAGAGCTAATGGAACACCCAGACACTTTCAAATTTCCGTTGCGGTTGTCTAGTTTATTAGGCCAATCTCTCCCTTAAAATTGACTACATTTCAGTATGCCTGGTGCGCACACATTTCCATCTAGTCCTGCTACAAATTGGATATGCATGTGTGGCCATTGTGTAGCCAAGTGATAAGGAGCAGGATGGGTGAAGGACCCCAGACAAATTGTCATAAACTGCAGAGATTTACAGAAGCTCGCACACAATGACCACATTGGCCAGGATAAAGGATGTGGGATGTGAGCAGGTCCCACCAAAGGACGACCCTGTCCAGTTGCTTCGCTCTGATAACTGTGACATTAATGGCATTTTCCATGCAAATCTAATATTACGTATACGTCATGTGTACGCTGCCATCAGTCCGATGCTTTTGTTTGCGTCTCGTGGTGAGAGTCGTTGGTTTTCCCTGGAGCCGTTTACCACCAAGTTCTGGCTGTGTGCTCGTTGCTGTAAAATTCGATAACAAGCCACCGAACTGGTTTTGTGGGGGCTCCCACTTGCCAACTTCCGGCCACCCAGCCTTCGACACTTCCTTCTGCATAATTGATGGGGAAAGCATTTGGCACAGGATGGCAGAAAATACAGATTAGTTTCGGCAGGACCAGGGCCACGACCAGGACCATATTTGTCCCAATTGAAAGGGAAACTTGTCATCTTGGGTGTTGTAAATAATTTTAAGAACAATCAAATATTTATATTATTTTTGAAACAATTCTCTTTTATTTATTCTTTTATTGCGACTCCTATTCTTTAATCATTTATCAAACTCCCATTTCCTTTACACTTTTCCCATCCCTTATTTCCCAGTGGAACAGTTTTTAATGAACCACTTGGTGCCCGACACCTGACTGCAGTCGGAAGAGTCGCTGGCGTGGCAACCAGACCAAAAACGAAAAAAAAGGAACTCCACTTCATCTGCGCTCTTGCCAAGTCAAAGGTTCACAAACCTATTGACATGTCAAATAATAATCTGAACATTCACAACACCTCCGTTCTCCTCGGCACCACCCTTTGTTTTTATATTTTCCATTTTCTGTTTGGTTTTGGGCTTTTTTTTTTGGCATTTTCGTTGATGGTATTCCTGCAGAACTTTGGCATTGTCTGCAAGCGAAAGCCGATGAAGCCCCAGGACGGGTGAAAACTTTGCTCTTTAACCATGAGGGCGTGTCGCCTTCCCGGCTTTTTTCGGTTTTAAGTGAATCTTTAAAATATGCACGACGTCACATGGCCAGGTCGACATATGGCTCTGTGACTGGGAAAAGCCGAGCCGAAGGTGACTTCTCCCTTGGCTTTTATAAGGATAACAAAAAAAAGGGAAATGCTGAAAACTGTTTGCATACTTAAAGGAGAGCATACGTGAAAAATATAGCTGACAGGAAGAAAAACCGTGTGTGTTGGATTAGTTGAGTAAGGGCAAAATAAAATAGTATTTGTGAAACACAAGAATAAGATAAAATATTACAAAATAAGAGAAATATTAGTCCTTCGTTATAGGTTCCTTTCCAAAAACATAACACTATGAATGTGATAAGAAAAACCTCTTAAGTCCTGCAATGTTCTTTAATTTCTCATTCCATTTCTCAATTTCGAAAGTACATAATGAATGCACTTTGTCTAATACCCGAGACGTCTGCAAAAAGTGTCATATATATATATATCATATAGTGTCATAGCACAAAACTTAAACACATATGCAAATCGTGGCTGTAAAAAGCTTGCAACATGTAGAATGCAAATTGCTGGCGGAGATGTGGCAAAAACTAAGACTGATTGTTTGGGGCGTGGCATATGAAACCCAAAGAAAAAGCATGAACAAGTTGTGCTGGAACTTTTTGGTCACCTTGGATATGTCCGTTCTTTCAAGTAGCTTTTCAAGGATAACCAAAGTTTTTTTTTCAAAAATGGTAAATAGAGAGAAAAAATCGAGATAGATACATGCGGGAAAAAGGAAAGAATTAAATAGCAATAAGTAACACTTACCTTATGCTGTTGCTGCGGTTCATGCGGGGACTTTGGACATAGGGGGACTCATTGCCCGAGAGCGGCATTTGGCCAGCCCCCGGTCCGGATCGGTTGTGGATCATCTTGTGGCCATGTCGGGTCATGGCGGGCGAGCCGATCTGCAGCTGCTCGATGGACTCTCCGTCGGACAGGCGACTGCCGGCCGTGTTGCTGTGCTTCAGCCACATGGCATACGAGCTGTACTCCGGTTTGACCTCCGAGTAGGTTTGGGTGTCGGAGAGGGATCCATCGTGGCGGGCGCCAGGGCGATTGGAAATTCTTAAAAGGGAAATTAAAATATATTTCAAAATTCAGAGACCTAGTCGAGGTATCCTCACCTGTGCTGAAAGACATGCAGATCACTGCCGGGCTTGGGCAGACTGTGCGATCCTGTGGCCAGACGCTCCCTTATGGACTGGCTGAGTTGGGTGGCCGTTGGTCCCGTCAAGGAGAAGCTACGATGCTGAGTATTTGGCGGTAGCTCTGCAAAAATAACCAAAATTCATATAAAAGGGGCCTGCTTTAGAAAATACCCTTCACTTACTGTTCATATCGTTGGGCAGGGTTTGGGTCCCGCCGGCGATTTTGCGTCCACCTGCCGTCCTTGGCACCGCCGAGACGTGGGCAGTACGTCCACAGGGCAGACCATTGGGCACTGCCACGCCTCCGCCACCTCCGGCACCGGCCATTAACATGGCAATGTTCTGCTGTTCGGCAGTGGAGGCAATGCTTCCGTTAGCTCGCTTCACATATCCAAAACTGGGCGGCACACCCTTTGTTCGCGAGGAGGAGGGGGAGCCCTGCTTAGAGGAACTGCCACTGCCACCGCCCATGCTGCGGCGAGAGGGCGAGGACTTCTCCGATTTATGTCCATTGAGTGGTTCGGGCATCTTGCTCCAGTTATCGCGTCCATTTCGAGATCCTGGCCTATGATGGGGACTCCCATCCATTTTACCGCCTCCTCCGTTGTTGTTGTTATTATTGTTATTGTTGTTGTTGCTGCTGTGGGAGTGGGCGTGGCTGTGGGTGGTGGTGGAGCCGCCGCTGGAGCTGGCCTGGCTGGCTGCAGAGCTGCCGTTCGCGGCGGTTCCGATGCTGTCCAAAGAGCCTCGACTATTGCGAATTCTGAAAGAGGGAAAAATAGGAGAGAAAATAAGTTAATAAATTTTAAATAAATGAGTTGAGTAGCCTTGAAGTGCCATTATCATAAATTAAGGAATATAAAAGCGAAAATAACACCACCCTATAATTATGATTTATTTTCAGGAGATAATTAGCAAGCAGATGCTTTCATTTTCCACGATTTGCATATAAACCTGCTATATTTTATACCCAATGTCCATTGAAGTGTAGAAGGAAAATCAAAGTGATGGGCGAAGTAGACTTGTCAGACAATCGCCAAATCAGCGGGCAAACAATTGCGATTCAAACGAAGAAAGTGAGGAATTCCGAGGCAGACAAAGGCGAACAATAGACCCCAACTGAATGGCTGACAGACAATCCTCAAACACAATTGGCAAGTGGCGCACATAAAGGGCTAAGACGGGCAGGGGACTAGATGCCCCTTTCCTCCGAGAAGTGGCTACAATTTTCAATTAAAATGACAAAAGATATTCTAGGGTCGGAAGGGAGAGGGTCCCTCGCAGTCAAGAGTCAGCTGGAAAATTGCATGTATAAGCTTAGCGTCCATGGTACTTTTATTTAAACACATATATCACAACTAATTGGGCGTGTCCGAGTGCCACAATAAATAATGATATTTACTTATACAGACATCTGAGTGTTGGTAGTTTGAGAAGGCAAGACCCTGAGCAACCCATGACTGAAAATTAAAGAGTAAAAACCAAGCTGTCCTGCAGGAACATACCAAAAGTCGCTGATTGGATCATAAACAAGATACTCTTAAGTGAATCAGCGTTAGCCTCGAAGTGGCATTTTATGTTTTTCGATGTTTAGAGTTGAATGAATGCTCCCTTAACTAAACTAGTTTTCAATAAATGAATTCAATTTCTCGCCGCGCTTACGCATATATACGAATTTATTATTCAAAATCAATTTGGTTACTTTGTTTGATTAAACATTAAAAATCGGGTATAAAAGCGACTGCCTCGCAGGCACAAGGCGTTGACAATACCCAAGATGAGGTTCTTTGCTCTGATCGCTATTTTGTTTCTCGGTCTGGTAGCCGCCAATGCGACACCCCAATTCGCGGACTGTCTTAACGGATATAACAATTGTGATACAAGCCCAGCTGCTCCAGAAACCGCGGTGGATACCTACGATGTTCCCGAAGTTCGCCTCGACTCGATCTCGTTTCAACCTCTAGCTGGATAATTGGATTACTTCTAGTACTTATTGTGATAATTTAATAAAAATGTTGGTGGATTGATTGTGTAGTTTTATTTTCAACACAATTGTAGCCCTTTCTGGGGCTTGAGAGTATAACAAATCAAGCTCAGACCAAGGACAACATGGACCGGTCTAAGAAATTAGCAATCCATTGGTAATTTTGAGCCTGCTAGTGAATCTGGCACCAAAAGTGACAACTCTGCCTCTGTGTTCTTAAGTCAACTGCTCGTATAAATATGGCTTGAAATCAATCATAAATCATTGGCAAGCGGCGAGATGAGGTTCTTGGCCCAGTTGGTTTTCCTGCTTCTTGGATTATTGGCCGTAACGGGGAAGCCCCTGAGTGACGATTGCCTGAGGAATATTTCGTTGGGACTTCCCTGTGACCAGAACGCAGAGGCTCCGGAAACAGCAGCGGATACGTACGAGGTTCCCCAAGTTCTCCTTGACCCGATTACTTTTGAGCCATTAGCGGGATAAAATCACAATGGTCTTCAAATATATACATAAGTAGACAATTGTACTTTAATATGCGTCTTTAATTGGTATGTTTTTGGGGAAAACGAGTTGCTGGCAAGTCGATTGCAAAGCATGTCATGATCTTGTGATTGGTAATTAACAGGTTTCGGTAGCTTCTCTTAGATAATTAAAGCAATAGAAATACCAGTTTTCAGCAAACAAAAGTTGTGACAATTCCAATAAAAATATTTCGAGTTTCATGCGTCACTAAAACAACACAGCTGATAAAATATATATTATATTTTTGAGTAAAAAAAGCTGCACCAAGTGGCATCTGTATCAGGCATTTATTAAAGTTAATGCATAACCATTATCATTATTTAAATTTACTTTTTTTTTGTTTAAACTATAAAAGAAATATTTATAAATTGAATTAATTGGCAAACCCATTAATCAGAGCTAGAAAGACACATACCCAGCTACCAGCTCAGATAAGCTTTAAACTGAGTTTTATTTTTCAAGATAGGAGAGAGTTGGGCGCGTGGAGGGCCAATAAATTAACTAATTGGTGTTGTGTTTCAGTTCTGGCTACCCGGGTGGCAACCGAAGTGCTGAAATACTAAAACTTCTTCTGCGATTTAATCCCTCAGTTAAACTTAGTTAAAGAAACCCAAGCTGAAACAAAAAGAATGAACAAAAAAAACAGCTGTCTGGGTCATAAAATCCAACTACACCCTGGCAAGCAATTACCGTTTAGATATGCCCTGGCCGATACGAAAATGAAAGAGACCAAGGGGGCGGCGAGGGGGAAAAAAACATTTTCTTCTGTAACCGAGACGTCCATTTGGGGTCTACGAGGGTTCCGAGGGTCGTCACAGAATGCGTGACTGTCTCCGGGTGGAAGTGCCAGTGAAAGTGGCATCCGAAGTGACACATAAAGCTCATAAATTGTCGCGCACTCAATATGCATATATGTGAGTACTACTATGTGGGGGAATAACTAGAAAAAAAAAGGGCAAATGTTTTCCAAACTGAGAGGGGGCTGAAATCAATAACGATTGCCATATCGGTGTGCAGCTAGCCAAGCGACCTGGGGCCCGGTATGTGGGTGAAATCGATATTTCACCTGACTACTGGCTTCTGGAGAGAATATGTGCTGACAACCGCAAATTGAATTGTTTTTAATTTTCCCAATGCTTTCAATAATCTTATTGTCCTGTATTCCATTGTCACTCAGCCTATAAAAATTTCATTTAAAAAAATAGTTTCGTTTTAACATTTGTTTGGAAACAAATTATTCAATGGAATTAAGGATTCGACTGGCGAGTGCAGGCATATATCCTGAATTTTTAAATACAAACTCAATTGAACGTATGTTTCCATAGCCGGGCAGATTCGTAACATTCCTTTTTTGCTTTTTAAAGCTTTTGTGAAAAAATATCTCATCCATTCTTGTGGCAAGTGAAAAAATGGAATCCGAAATGACGCAAAACGCTTCCGAAACAGACGTCATAAGCAGTAAACCCAAAAAGGAGCAAGTTGAAAGCGGATTTATAGCTTTTATGTGAAATGGAGAAAGCACCAGAAAAAATCTATTGAAAAACGGGAAAAGAATTAACCAAAAATAATATATATTTGCTCTGCCCGAGACATCATTAGCTTTTGAGAAAATAATATTGAATTCCTCGTTGAATTTCTGCCTCTAATATCCGAAAAATATATAAACCAACGTCCTTTGCACTCCCCCTTTAAATGGCTCTGGTTCCATATTGCAAATTGCAAGGATATATCGTCCTGGCGTTTGTTTGCTTTTGTATCGATGTCAGTGCGCGGACGGACCCTAAAGCGTGTGCTTTAGTTTTCGAGACCCGCACATGAAAACACAGAAAATATATATTGCCAAAATAACAAAAAAAAAACAAAAGTGGAGGACAAAAAAAATTGTTTTCCCCAGGCAGGAGTGCAAAAATGAAATTCCATGCATGTCTGCCCAGGACTTGTGCCATGGATTTTAGCATTTTTCGGCCATTTTATTTCGTTGGAGTTTCCTTTTTCAAGGCAACTAATTTCGAGCAGAAAATGTAATTTGCATGGTTCTGAGTGAAAAACAAAGTGAAAAGCCATAAACAAGCGGTCGGCTCTGCGCTTTAGTGCCGGGCTATTTAAATTCGGCACTTGTGTTCGTGTAATTTTTAATTTAGTCTCGCTAATTTATTCTCTGGCCAAAAGCACGTGTTCAATTTAAATGAGAAGGCCAGATGGTTGGGTGGCCAGAGGTGGCAACACATTCATGTAATTGGCGCTTCTAATTGACAGGGAGCCAGGCCAGAAGCCAGGATAATTAGGCGCGGTATTTGGGTCTTTGACAAAAAATTAGTGACCCTAATACACGGAGGCATTACACTGGGGTACGTGTGTGTATGGAAATGTGAGTAATGATGATGAAAAGCTTAGCTAGCTGGTTGAGCGATAATGCCAGGAATTTGTTATTCTAAACAACCATGAAATATTTTGTTGAAAAGAATAGTTGGGCAACTAACGCCTTGGCCTGTCTACTCTTCATTTATTAAAGCCGTCAACAGGCCGAGCAACAAGCGAAAAGGACCGACTTATCAGCCTAGAAGGCAACGAACAATGATATAGTCCTCCTCCCTGAGTAGTCTTTCCTTTTCCCGGACCCGATAACATTCTATGAATGGAATTCTGACAGCTTTATGGGCGTTACAAGCGCATTAATAAAAGTGTCGAACATGCGGCCCGGAATGGGGCGTGGGTAGGGGTTGGGTGGTTGGGTGAGTGGGTGGCTCCACCATATCCGAGATGAGTTCACACGCAACCTTCAACCAAGTTCCTACGAGTTTCTGTTTCTGTTTCGCGATGGCCTTGCAAATGGCTGCAAACAACGGGCAAAAAAAGCGCCTAAAAGCAGGCAGCACTTCAGAAAGGAAAATTATGGACTGGGCCAAGGATACAATGCTGGCTATAAGACAGATTTATTCCCATGGAAGGAAGTCTGTTTTTGTAGAAAATATATTTGGAAGATAGTTTGTAAATCTTATGATTTTTATGATGTCTAGTTAAAACTCTTATATAATTATATTTATTTTAGTTTACTTCATAATCCTTCTATAGAGGGTAGCAAAAAATAAAAACACATTGCACACTCGTTTTGGGCAGCCTCGCATCAATTATGCAACCGGCAGGGACCTCTTCTTTCCCCAAAGCAATTGTTCGCCTTTTACGATACTCAACTGTTGTTGGGTCATAAATTCTGGCAGCAAAGAAAGCCAGCAAGTCGAAATAGCCTTCAAGTGGAC